CCCCTTGCCCTCACTGACAGCGCATTGCCTTGACAGGCCAAGGTCACACCTCGCTGGTAGAAGAGGGTTAACGATCAACTTTTATTGGCATTCTGCAGTTTGCACGGTATCAGTTTCTCGCCCTGCACGGGGAGCAGGCCCTGAAGAGGTGGGTGCCCTTTGATACTTTCCAAGCCAAGCCGGTAACAGCTCTTCGCCAAGCCAGGATGCCGCATGCCGGTTTGAGCAGCCGCGTTGCTGTCTGCTGTGTGCTCTCGCGCTCTCATGTTGGGAGGAGCACTTCAGGAAGGACAGCAAGGGGTTAAGGCTGGCTCTGTGGTGACTAATGGTGCAGGACTCTGCTATCTAGTTAGGTGCGTAGGCACACAGCAGGGCCCACCAGATAGGATCTCTTACCTGGAAGCAGCATTCCAGCACCCAGTGATAAACCCAACAGCCACAGCACAGACTGACTCACCCGATTCCTCCATGCCCTGCCGATTCCTCCATGCCCTGCCGGGTGAGCTGCCCTCCCATGCTCAAGTACAGGCCAAACATGCTGTTAGGGTCTGAGCCTGGCTTGTGCAGGGCAACTGGTTTGGGGTGCAGAGGGGATGTGCCAGCTCAGCACACCCTTCTTACAGAGGCGCTGTGGACACTCGCCACCCACCTCTGGACGTAACCCCAGCACCTTGCTGGCAGCCTTGTTGCCATCCTTGCCTCCCACGAAGCCACCGTGCCCTCGGCTCCTCAGTAAACAGGAGTTTGGCAGCGCTGCCACCCACCGCCTACCTCTAGCCGCTGTTTCGGAGCAAGGGAAGGGCCATTGCTGCAGGCAGCCGGTTGCGAGTCGCCAGCAGCGCTCTGCTCCTGTGAGCACGCGCGTCATCGTGCGCAGCCCAGCCTAATGCTTGTGCTGCTCTGTTGCTCCCATGGCCTCCCTGTCCCGTTTGGTCAATGTAGGCCAACTTTGAGGCAGTCACTGGCACCCTTGGGGTTGAACAGTGCAAGTGCAGCACAGCTTTGGGCTGGGTGGCGTGGGAATGACAGCGTCTGACAGCACTGGGACCATGTGGCTTCTCGAACAGGTTTTAATATCACAGAGCAGAAGCTAAAGTGGTTGTTTCACCTAAAAAAATAAAAATTGCCTGGCCCACAAAGGCAGCCTGAGACTTTTCTAATCCTATGACAAACAAGCCCACATTCAGCCATTTAAACGCTTTTTCCCTAGCTAGTGGGGGGGGAGGGAGGTTAGTTAAGTGCACTACAGTCGCTTTGGTAGCACCCTGTAATTCACTGTCTGTTGCCAAACAACTCACCTGCTGCAAGTAGAGCTCTCCCCAGATAACGTTACGGCAAGTTGGTCCTATGGAAGCGCTGCTGCAGCATCGTGCTGTGGGAAACGCCAGCGCGGGACAGGGGCGGCAGCTGGGGGGGGGGATGGGGGCAGCAGCCCGCTGGGTGCTGCGCTCGGAAGTCACCCTGCCCAGCCCTGCCGCAAGCTTTTGCCCCAATTGCTCTTCCGGCCTCTCCTGCTCGCTCAGGTTATACTCGACACCTCTACTCTTACCCAGAAGCAATGGCCTTAACATTTATTCCATCCCTCAAGTGCCTGTCCCAACTGCCAAGCCTGCACTGAAGTAGTTCTCATAAAACTCCCTTAGAAACAAAACACACGCTCCCCGTGCACAAAGGGAAGGGGCTGCCGAAGCCCACAGACACCTCCAGCCCTCCTGCCCCGCTGACCACTAACACCGGGCGCGCCCTGCTCTCGCCAGGCCGTAGCGCAGCCCTTGTCTCTGCATTTACTGCCGGGGGGGGGAGCGCTGCCCCAGAACTGAATGCAGGCAGAGGTGACCTCAACAGAGATGAAGTATTAGGCAGCTGTTGGGCTCAGAAGGAGAACTGAGGTACACAGATCCTGCGGCTGGGGGCTCCTCCTGGGAGCAGAGGCAGGTAACAGCCTCTACATTTCCAGTATTCCAGCTGTGACTCTAATTTTTCTTTTGCCTTTTTGAGAAAAGTGCTGCCAACGTATAAAGAAGAGTGGAAGTCACGGGCCATCCCCCTCCCCCGGTTCATCCTCCAGCAGAACCACCCGAGTGCAACTCCTTCCGAAATGCTAGCGCTGCTCATCCCTTCGCAAGGGAGCTGTGAGGTTTACTTTTTATTGTTTACCTAAGAAATCCACTAGCTGGCTTTTCCAGAATCTAACTCTTCTAGAGGGACCATAACCTTAAATGTTAAATGGAATTGCTATTTTTCCTCTCTTAAGAAGTCGAGTTGTAGCTGAGCCATGTTTAGCGTCTGCTGAACAGACCAAAATCCCACTGACAATGAGCTCTGGGCTACACTACAGTAAAAATTGGAGGCAAGATTAAGTTTGGAGCAGCAGTCTCCTGCAGCACGCATTGCAGAGGCAGCCGTCAGCTTGAACTGTCCTTCACCTGCACCAGGATCAGCAGCAGGAGCCTCCATCTTATTTGGCACAACAGGTAAATGATGCCCCAAGTTTCTGCTGAGCCCCTCACAGCTGAGTGGCTGCCCCCACCCCGCAAAGCACATCCAGGCCCATCCCACAGAGTCAAAGGCACCTGGTGGTGCTAAGGAAGGAAAAGCTCATTAGCTTTTTTAGGTCACAAGTCAATCCAGGAGTTGGTCACTTGTAGCTTCCAATTTAGCATGCCTCAAGGGAGGAATTGAACATCAAATCACTGCCAGAGCCCGGCCCTACTTAAAGGCCATTTAAATGCGAAGAAGCTGTCCCTGAGCAGGTACCCAAGCAGCCCCAGCCAAGTTCTCACCCCAGGCGACGGGTGGGAAGCGCCAGGCAGCCCCACAAGGCCCCGCACGCCCTCCCTGCGGCCCAGCAAGCGGCTCCGACAAAACAGAGGCCAGGGGCTGGCACAGGGAAGGGAGGGGCCTTAGCCCACACCACTGGTGGTTTTTCCTGCTTGAGAGAAGCTGCACAGCACCAAATATATGTGAGGGGGAATGAAATCGGACAGCTGTACAGAACACACAATTCACCTTTAATTAAAATAGAGTTTATTAGCTTTTCTTTTAATACAAACATGAGAAAGGAAAACCACCTGAAGATGTAGCCTTATTTTCAAAATTGAATTGTGATCAATACATGAAGCGCCAGGTTCCACGGATTTGGGAGCCAGAGGCTGGGGTATTTGCATACCGCACAGACTGTATGCATCACTTCAACAGCTGAGTGCAGCCAAACGGGTGATTACACTCAGCCAGCCCCGCTCCCAAAGGCAGGTGGACTGGCATTCAGTGTGAAGCATTTCTGGGCCTTGGCTGG